CCTCCTCCTCCTCCTCCTCTCCTCCCCCCCTCCTCCTCCTCCTTCTCCTCCTCTCCTCCTCCTCCTCCTCCTCCTCCTCCTCCTCCTCCTCCTCCTCCTCCTCCTCCTCCTCCTCCAGGGGCGCGTTGACCCGGCTTCGCGTGCAGGGTCCTGCAAGATTCGGGGGCCCCCAAACGGTGTGGTGACCACACCGTGTGGTGAGTCGGGGGGTGCTGGAAGAGCCCCAGCTCCGCTGTGCCCCGACTCGGTCGGGTATAGCCAGGACCCTGGGTAAGGGGACCCGATTAGTGGTAGGGCCCTGGGGCCCCTCAGTTGGCCAGATTCACTAAACCGGGTCTGCCGTAGCTGGTGTTTTTCGGGCGACGGCAGTTCCGGTTAGTGGAAGTGAGACGGGGGGGGCGCCCCCAGTACAAATCATTAAACCAGGTTCCACTAAACCCAGTTCTGCCAACGCCCGATTCGGGGCCCCCAAACGGGGTGGTGACCACACCGTGTGGTGAGTCGGTGGGGATTCGGGGTCACCGCACGGGTTTGGGACTCGGGTCGTTCTCCGAGGACGTATCGGGCGGCTGGGGCATCACCCGCGGTCCCAAAACCGTGCGTTGACGGACCGTGCGGTGAGGTCTTGGGTAATTTCGAGGTCACCGCACGGTCTGTCACCGCACCGTTTCGGGACTCCAAACCCGAGCGACGTCGCGCATGGATTCGTGCGCGCGCGATTCCCCAAGATTTGACGGCCGCGAGAGCTTGCTTGCGGCTCCGATCTTCGGACATGCTCGCGTCGTGGGGGCAAGATGCACGACTGGAGGTGTTGAGCAGTTTCGTACTCCGGGGGCCCTCGCGGGGCCCCAGGACCGTCGAAGACGATTCGGGATGAATAAAGACGGGCCCCAGGGAGAGGGTCGGGCCAGGACTTGTGGGGGCCCCGCACGGAAACAAAACCGCGGCAATGCATCTTTGGGTCGGGACCGTGCACTCGCTTGGCCTCGCTCGGACGTGGTGTGCATTTTTCGGCGAGAACCATCGAGGAGCATCCTTGATCATTTGGCGAGAAAACCACGCACGAAACCGAACAAAGCACAGGGAATGGACGTCCGAGCGACGGCCAGCTCGGGTCCTGCGGGCTGGGGGGCGCCCGCATGACAAGTACGCGCGCGCCGACGCTTCGCTCGCCTCCCCAGCATCCCGCATCTGCCCGTTGCTTGTCGGTTTGCCCGCGTCTGCCCACCTCGTCGTGGTCCAGCCCCGGCCTCCTGCTGCTCGGCCGTCGTTCCTCGAGTGCGTCTCCAGTCCCTGGCCCGATCCGCCTCCCCACTGGGCCTTTCCGCTGTCCATCTGTTCTGTCTCCTCGCCTCCTCGTGGCGCGTCCCTGCCAGGGTATGATGGGCCGATTCTCCACCACCGCTGCCATGGGTAGGAGAGGGATGAGGAGAAGCTGGAGGAAGAGGAGGATGCCCTCCCCATCCTCCGTTCTCCCCTGTCCTACCCATGGGAGTGGTGGCAGAAAATTAGGCCGTCGGGGTATGCTGTTCCCCCGTTCGGACGGAATAGAAGCGACACCAACACCACCAGGGGGGCCACCTCCAGCGACGAGGTCCACGATGCCTCCCCGAGCTGGAGGCTGGGGATGTCTCGAGCGAGAGGGGGGGGACCACACCACCAGGGAGACCTCCCCTCGCTCCTCGCACCTCCTCGCCCTGGTGTTGGTGTCGCCTTTCCCTGTTCCTACCCGTCGTCAGCGTGTCAGACCTCGCCCCGCCCTCCATGCCACGGGCCTCTCCTCGCCGGCTGCTGCGTGCGCCCTCTCGTCTGCCCCGGGGCTGGCCAGGCCTGGCGCCTTCCCTGCTCCGGACGGGCCTCCCTGAAGTGAGAGCGGCGCCCGACCTCCTCCTCCTCCACGCCGCTGCGCGCCCTGGCCCGGGATCCCGCCAACGGGGGGCAGGCCGAGCAGCTTCTGTTGGTCGCGGGACCGGCCAGAACAGGTGCCCCCCATGGTGCTGGTTGTCTGATTAATGGTTTGGCCGATGGGCACGGGCCCTCGCACTCCCCCCCCGCGTCCCCCCCCCCCCCGTGGAGTGGATCTTGGCTGTTTCTGGCGCCTCTTTCGAGCAGGCGGAGTCTCCCCCAGAGGACGCACGGTGCCAAACAGTCGCAGGACAGTGCCGTTTTCTTAATACATGTTCCGCGTGCGGATCATGTATGAAAATATGCAGGGAATTAGTATTAAAAACAGCGATGAGTTCATGCATTGATTTATTCATACATTGATCATGTGTGACAAATCCCATGTTCTCAAAAAGATCCCATGTATTAGAACTTGCCCTGTAAGCAGAGGTGCGGAGCCAGATCCCCCCTCCCCCCCCCTGCCGCCCAATGCCGAAACGCCGAATCAGAAATCGCCCGTCAGCCGCCCGCAGCTCCCGACAGTAGCCGATAGGTGGGGCATGCGGGGGGCACCTGCTTGCGGCGCGGCAGTTCGGTGCACCAGCGGCTCGCACTCAGGCCCCTCCGCAGGCTCGCCCCCCCTTTGGGTGACCCCGACTGGTGCCTGCCCGCTCCTGCCCGAGCGCGCCGGAAGTGATTGGGCCTAAAGGGCATCCCAATCGGTCCAGCCACAGCGGCTGCGGCCCAGCTGATTGAGTTTTAGGCGGGCAGTGCTAGCGCGATGAGCGGGTATTTTTCGACCGGCGCCGCCGACGCCCCGTCGCCGTCTCTTGGAGGGTGAAAGAGGGGGTCTGCAACAGGGGGTCTTCAATGGGGGCTGAATGGCCCATGTATGCTCAATGTATCGCTCATGTATGTGATCGGGTACGATTGGCATCCAATGCTGGCGGTCATTGATGGCCAGTCATTCGTGCCCGCGCGTTGCCCGCGCGGGCACACGCGCCGTCCATCCATTATCGTTCATGCGTGCGGGCGTTCTTGCATATTGCGTGTGGGTCGGCGAAGTGGAGTGCAAGTGTGTCTTGATTGTGCGGTTGATGATCGCGTATGTTCCCAAACGATGACTTCTCGACCCCCAAGACAGATTTGGAATGGGCCCCGCGATTCTCCCAAAATGTGAATTCACATTTTCCTTTTTCCCCAAATGTGAACTCACATTTTCCTTTCCCAAAATGTGAATTCACATTCTGGCCCCTTCATAAAGAATCCTACACAAAATTCCCAAATGTGAATTCACATTTTCCTTTTTCCCAAAATGTGAATTCACATTTTCCTTTTTCCCAAAATGTGAATTCACATTCTGCTTTTCCCCACAATGTGAATTCACATTTTGCCCTGGCCTTCAAGATCCCCAACACTGAGGCGCAGTGACCCGCATGTCAGATTGGCTGGGCAGATTTCGACACTCACCTGACCGCTTTCGTGTGTTCCAGCCTTTTTTTTGCGCCCTTAGCGCACATTGCCTTCGTCGCCTTTCCCGAACCCCCCGCCCCCTCGCTTCCTTTCCCCTCAAGTCTCGCGCGCGGGGGCAGGCGGGGGGCTTCAATTAGTCCCCCCGCCGAACACAGCAATCGAGGATGCATCGCCCATTCATGGCCTTAATGAACATCATTGCCGGGACCCTGCGCCCGACCCCCACTTTCACCCTCCAAGTCTCTTGCCCGACCTCTGGCCTTCCCCGGACGGGTTGCGCATCAGGCCTTCGTTTTTCTGCACGGCCACCTCCCTGTCCTCCTCTTTCGGCTCGAGAGCTCCCGGCTACACTCTGACGTCCACGCCAGCCAGGCCTCCATCGGGGCCGGGGGCAGCGCATAGAAATTGCTGGCCTGAGTGCAGTTCAGCAGAGTCTTCAGGCTCGCAGCTTTCGGCGGGACTGGCTGGATTTACTGCCGAGCGTTCGCGGATGGAGAGTCTCGGGAAAAGGTACAGTGATGGACCTGCCAGCCGTCCAGCTGGATTTTGCCAGTTGATCGTCTGATCTCTCAGACAGCGTGTTCTTATAGTACAAGCGTTCTTGCCTGCCTGTGCCAGGAGTTTCTCTTTGCACAGACCCAGGGCCCCAGATAGGGCCTGGCCAGGGGGTCTCAGCGAATGCAGTCGGCAGTTCCCTGCTTCTCCCTCCCGCCTCCACCCCCTCTTCGCTCTCGTCCCCTGCCCCTTGAACCGCGATTGGCATGGACATTTCCCGAACAGCGCTTGCACTCGGGGGCTGTTGCTGAGAAGGTGAGGAGCCGGGCCTGAGCGTCTGTCTGGCCAGCTTATGGCAGCCCCTCGCCGCCGCCCGTCGCCTCGCCATCCTTATCACGATTTTGATAGCGCGCGGTTCCCAACTGTGGAGTCGGGCACGTCCCTCTACAGGAGGAACATTCGAAAATAGTCCAAGAATAAGCAGGGGACCATTTTTGAGGTTGTCTAACAATCTAAAGATTCGCAGGAGGGAAAGAAACACACAGACACAATTAATCGTCAACTCCCAGGAACATATGGGAAACTATGGGAAGTGGGGGGGAGGCAACAATTCAAAAGATATGGGAAAATATGGGGAATCATTTTATTTGTGTGTATTTATTTGTGTGTCCTGGGCCCCCTTCAGATTTAGCTATTTTGAGATTTTCGTCCGAAATCCGCCTGTAGGGGGACATGCCCGACCTGACCCAACGTGGACTGCGCGCTGGTCGGGCCGCCTGGTGGCCACACGTCGCTGGCGTCCGTCGCCGCACAGTGCTGGTCACGATTTTGATTGTGTGAGGCTCGCGCTTTGGAGCGCTTTGCATCACATTGATTGCTTCGCATTGCTTTGCATTGCTTCGAACTGCTTTGTTTCAGAGTTGCGTTGCATCACGTTGTGTTGCTTTGCGTAGCTTCGCGTGTTACTTGTGTTGATGTGCATGGCTTTGCATTGAGTTGCATCGTTTTGCGTTGCTGTCCGTTGCGTTGTCTTGCATATTCTATTGCGTGAGATGCACCACTTACACTGCACCACATGTACTTCACACTTCTACTTTGCTGCAGTACATATTTAGCTTACGTAACACACACATTGCACCACATAGATTGCAACACATACGTTTCACCACGTATCTCACACCAAATGAGTTACACCACACACATTGCAACATGTAGATTGCGCCACCTACTGTACACCACATAGGTTGCACAGACATGTTACACCACATATCTCACCCCACATACACAGCACTGCATCGACTGCACCACTATAACTCGCACCACATATACTCCACCGCGTAATTGCCTCACCTCTTTACATTGCTCCACATAGCTCACACCGTATAGATCGCACCACACGGATTGCACCACACACTCTTGGCGTCGGCGGCTAAGCAGGGGTCGTCTGCGCTGGCGCAAGGAGCTAGCTCAGCGGGGGCACCGTTGCTGCGAGTTGGCCAACATGTGAGAGCTGGACGTGGGACAGAGCAGGCGGTCGCAGAGAGGGGGAGGCAAGGCGAGGGCCACTCAGGGGGGACGGATCACTTCCCTGGGTGCGCTGGCGCTTGGCATCGCTCGGACGTGTGCATTTTTTTTTTTTCTTCGGCGAGGACCTTCGAGGAGCATCCTCGCCCATCTGGCGAAAAATCCACGCACGAAACCGAAAAACGCACGGGAAATGGACGTCCGAGCGACGGCAAGGGACGTGGGACAGAGCAGGCGGCCGCAGAGAGGGGGAGGCAAGAGGCGAGGGCCACTCGGGGGGGACGGACCACTTCCGGGGTGCGCTGGCGCGGCCAGACCCGCCGGCGGGGACTGAGACGGTTGCTGAGCCGGCGTGCCTGCCGAGGCGGGTGCCCGGCGCGGGCACCGCACGTCAGAACAGCGTGTAGCCGACGAGGAGCACGACTACTACTACCACTACTGCTACTACTACTACTACTACTACTACTACTACTACTACTGCTACTACTACTACTACTAAGACTATTACTACTACTGCTACTTACTACTACTACTACTACTACTACTACTACTACTACTACTACTACTACTACTACTACTACTACTACTACTACTACTACTACTACTACTACTACTACTACTACTACTACTACTACTACTACTACTACTACTACTACTACTACTACTACTACTACTACTACTACTACTACTACTACTACTACTACTACTACTACTACTACTACTATTACTACTACTACTACTACTACTACTACTACTACTACTACTACTACTACTACTACTACTACTACAACTACTACTACTACTACTACGACTACTACTACTACTACTACTTCTACTACTACTACTACTACTACTACTGCTGCTGCTGCTGCTACTACTATTACTACTACTACTACTGCTGCTATTGCTACTGCTACTACGTTTGCTCTTACTACTACTACTACTACTACTACTACTACTACTACTACTACTACTACTGCGACTACTACTACTACTGCTACTACTCTGACTACGACCACGACTACGACTACGATCACGACTACGACTACTACTACTACTACTACTACTTCTACTACTACTACTACTACTAGTACTACTACTACTACTACTACTACTACTACTACTACTACTACTACTACTACGACTACTACTACTACTACTCCTACTACTACTAGTTGTGCTAGTGCAAGGCGGGCGGGACGCGCGCCGCCAAGGTGGGGGCGCGCAAGTCAGGCGACCGCAGACATGGATCAAGGGGGCGTGGATTAGCGACGGGTCCCGTTTCCAATGGAAATCGCGGATTTTTGCCACCGAAGGAGGCGGCACCCGCCGCATTTTTGGGGAGGGCACCTCCCCCGATCCATGGAGTTGGCGACCGCGCGCCAAATCCATGGATCGCTGACCCATGTGTACGTGCCCCTGAGGAAGGTGCGCCAAGGAAAGCTGCATCTTGGGTGGAGCGCATCCAGCGAAAGGCTGGGCCAGCGTGGGGCGGGGCGGGTGGCAAGACAAGGCCCAGGATCCTGTACGCGTGGCGGCTGCAGGCAGCAGCCCGGGCGGACTGCAGCACGCACGCTGCTACATGGTTCACACCCCATCGATCGCACCACGCAGATGGCACCACACAGCTTACGCCGCAAAGCCCACACCACACGGTGCGCAAGATCCTGCCTCGTACAACGCGTATGCTAGAGCACGCGGTTTTGTAGGTCCCGCGGTGGCTAACTTCTGTTTTCAGGAGCCAGATTCCTTCGGCCCCTCGACAGCTCCTGGAGGGCGCGGATGCTTCTCGTTCGGGGGCGCCCCTGACGCAGACCTACCTCGACGTCGCCATCAAAGGCAGCACGCGGGACTGCGAGTGCACAGGGGTTGCGCTGCCACGCGCCCCACTGTCCATGGTAAGACAAGGGACCGAGAAAGGGGGAGGAATATATAGATAGAGAAAGAGAGAACGAGACAAGGATGGAGAGAAAGTTAACTACATAGAGAGAGAGAGAGAAAGACAGAAAGAGAAACAGAGAGGGAGAGAGAGAGAGAGTGAGAGAGCGAGGGAGCGTCGCGCCCTTGCTGTGGAGGACCCCCCCCGATGGTGTTACTTTTGGGCCTCCGACAGCATGAGGCGCTGCAGAAAGGGCCTCGCCCCCGAGGGGGGCCGAAGG